ACAAGCGCTGTTATTCGGGATTTCGTCATAGGATGAGACCCTCGAAACGATGCACTTGGCCGTTTGAACGCTCTGCAGGAAGATGCTTCTGAGAATCTGCCGGCACATGGACAGCGACGAGAGCGGCACTATCGACTTGGAGGACCGTCGGGGCACGCAACCCAGCCTGGCGCGCATGGGGGCTGATCAAAAGGTCCTTTACATGGGATGAGATTTTGGTGGCCGCAATGGAATTTTGATCAACCCCCCACCTGAGTTTTGTGCGTGCCTTGTGTGGGGTTGTGAAAGTCAGAGTTCTGCTGCCTTCCAAATTTTGGGGATGCCGACGTTTAGCATGTTGAGCCTTCAGGGTCCAGCTGCTATGAGAGGACGTCCCTTTGAGGTGCCGACACGCCCAAGGTGTGGATTTTTCTGGACCTGGCAGGAGCTCAGGGCCGGCTTCACGGACCACCATACGTTTGCGGCCTGCATGAAGATGATGGGGGTGTTCGATGAGGCGGCGATGCTACCGCCTGGGGGAGGGGGGGAATGGGATGACGACTGGCGGGATTGTTGCGTTCGTGTTCCAACCTGGTCCGCTTGGATTGCCTTGCCCCCAAAAGCGGCGCATCCATTGTCCAGGCCTTTGTTCTGGGCCCAGTATTGCAAGTCTTCGCTGCTTTGCTGCCTGCAGCGCGGAGATGTGTCACTCTAAGGACTCTAAGGAAGATTGTATTGCACCCTCAGGAAACAGCTCACATGTTTGACTAACCAATTGGAGGGAAGCTGAGCTGATGGTCCAATCAGCCAAGAATTGCATGCAGCCCCGGATCTGACAGCTTGAATCAAAGGAACGTGCCACCTATCCAGCGGCCTGCTTGCGCTGAAAGGTTTTATGCCTTCAGTACACATCGGCACTCAGATGACACACTTTCCACAGAGATGTCGCCGAGTCAGACTGCCCAAAATGCAGAATGCTTTCCGGGGGCGGTGATGGGCAGAGGAACAGGCACAAAATGGGTGTGTCTTTTGTTAGGCCCCCCGCCCCCAAATTGGTGCTTTTTCTTTTCGTGTTCCATGTGTTCCGTTAGAACCTTCAAACAGGGGTACCCTGAAAAAAAGACAGACCCACATACTACAACAATATGTTTGACCTCAACCTTAGGCTTGCCCAATGAAAATTGAGCCCCGCGATTGAGAGAGCCTTTCAGGACGTTGAGCTTCTCTTCCAGATCTTAGACACCAAAGGTGTTGGCCACGTTCCCTACAAGGAGGGGCCAACCACCTTTTTGTGCGCGGGATTCTGATCGTTTTTTTTTTTTGTTTTTTTTTTCTCCGGCCCATGCATCACACTGAAACGACTCTGGCAATTTAGCTGCACACTCACGGACCTCAGCTTCCGGATCTCCGGTGGCCAGAGAGCGCGGGCATGTTTAGAGGCGCGTTCCGAGCGTTCTGCGCCGTCGCCGTGGCCTTTGCCCCTAGGATCTGGTGGACACGATTTCCAGGATGCAAAGCGACTCCGCGCATGTCATCCTCAGCGAGCTTTGCAGCTTGCGCGCGAGCCAACACGAGAGCGCGCCTTGACAGCACCTTGCGAGGCACTAGGAGTGTCACACCCTTAGCGGTTCCCCCAAACACCCGTCCCCAAAAACACACACATTGAAGATCAAAATGGTTGTGGTACGGTGGACGGAGTAATTGTTGCCTGACTTTTGAGTCGGATCCACGGCATTCTCTCCAACTCTCTCCGCACCCCCTTTTTAATATTGGCTGCTCAGTTTGGTTAAGTTGGGCTGGGTGCCAGTTTTCTGTCATCTACCTGCAAAAAGTTTTTGGCACCTGTTGGAGTCGGTAGAGGCCATAGGCCCATTTTTTCTCTCAAAGCTTTGCGGATTGATTCCCTTGCGGCTTCCGCGTGCCCCATTTTGTTGTGAAAGCGCCTGGCTTGCCGTAGGACGCGTTTGGAGGACGCGTGTGTGGCGTGTCTGAGCCCAGGTGAAAGACTTCAAAAAGAACATGGACGAGCATTTTGAGCAGATGCTCCGGGACACTTGGTGCTTCGGTCGGTTTGCTGGATTCCGCCTCGGCGGTGCCGCGGATTTCAGCCCTCATTGGCGATTTCCTTGAGGGTTATGAATTCAAGAGGTTCCTTGAGGGTTAGGCAGGGCTGCAAACATGTGGCCATCAGACAAATCTGTTCATGCATGTACATTATCATGCACACATACATCGTATATACATACATATATATATATATATACAGACACACACACACACTCCTTTGCCCTCTTGACTTTCTCGTTCTCAGCGGGATTGAGGGACTCCTCCATCAGAGCCATTATGTGGTTCTGATTGTTCTTGTATTCCACAGTTGTGATGTACAGCTCTGTCTTGGCATGGCACCCCGAAGGTGTTGTTGTCGTCGTTGCTTTTTTTTGGGCTTCTTCCCCGAGAATTCCTCGCTTTCGCGGGAGCTGCGCGATGTTTTGCTGAAGGCCCAGGGGAGGCCATCGGAAGCTGAGGAGAGCAACCGCTGCTTCAGCCAGATGCTTCAGGGCATGTCCTCCAGCACGAAGCTTCTGCAGGAGCTGTCCGCACCCCTGGAACTGGAGGCCGGAGAGGGAGCCACTTCCAAAAGCAATTTTGCGAAGCCTAATGTCAACCCCGGATTAAGCAGAACCCCTTGTTGATTAATAGGGGGTGTCCGCTTTTAGTGGGGATTCAGACCACTTTTGGAGGGAGCACCCCCTAATAATGGGACGGTTTATTAATCCTGGGTCAACATAATGCAGCCACTTTGAGACCCTTGGCAGGTTCCCACAAGGTTGCCTCAAGGCGAGCCCGTACCTACTCGTCGTTGCATACAGCAAGCTGAGCTTTGGACTACAAAGCTGAGAAGTCGTGAGAAGTTGACGTTTGCCCAAATGTTACGCTCCTTCCAAAGCTTCATGAGGTCCTAGCACAAAGGCTTCACCTTTCCCTCTTCGCGCACACGCATGCGCACCGTTCCGATACTTTCCGAAAACGGTCGCGTAGTCAAGCCTGTTCTTTTGATGACTCGAGACTTGCCGTACGCGCCAAGCAAGTTTTATGGGCAAACACATGGTCCAGTCCCAGCTGCTTCATATGGGTATGGGTCAAAATTAAACCTCCAGGGGACCGCAGGTTTTGGGGTTAGCCGATTTTTGACCCACAGCCAGATCCTGAACATGCTTTCATTTGTATGGTGTGAATGCCAAAAAGAAAAGCTGGCCAGGCGCCGGAGGACGATCCTGGGCTGAAGCTGCCGGCGCTGAAGCCGCACAGGTTGAATGACATCTCTGCCCGCGGCGAGAGCAGCTTGAGACTGGGCCGGACTTGTGTGAGTCGAGCGTCCCCCAGGTGTCTTCCATTTGCTTAAGATTTTTTGTTCATTTTCCCTGGTTGGTTTTAACAGGAAAATATAACTACGGGAAATATGTTTCATTTTTTCCCAGGGGTCTTAATCAAATGGAAGGTGTCCTTTCGGATTTCAGCTCAGCTCTGTGTGTCCAGCTTTCTTTGGCTTTTGGCCCAAATGGCGCCATCCCACAGAGGCCTCGCCTGGTCATATGCGTTGGAAAGACGAGTTTTTTTGCCAGAGTCACAGCTGGAGTGGGCCCGCCCTGAGTGTGCAGACAAATGGTAAAACTTCTCAGCCCCAACCGACTGAAGGATCCTTTTCTCTCCGCGGGCGTTTTTGTTTTTGTTTTTTCTTCCACTTTGAGCACTCAGGATTTGCGCGATGAAACTCGAGAGGTGGGATATTGCTAGAGGCCGGGCAAGGCGATCGTTGGGAAAGGTGTGCGACTCGTGGCAAATGAGGTTTGCCTTGGGGTTTTGGTTAACAGGTCGCATGGTTCCCATGTTGGACATGCTGGAGTCCATGCTCATGTTTGCGGAGAGCAGCTGCCGGTCTACATGTGACAAACCCCGTGGGTGGCGGTGGGCAATTGTGTTTGCTCCAGTGTGCATGCCCAAGCGACTCTGTGTTCAATTGGAAAGGCCACTGAATAAGAAAAAGCCGTGCGGACAAGCTTGGGCTGGGATACTAGCTTCGCCGCAGCAGGCCCAGAGGTGGCCTCCCCAAATTCTGCAAGCACGTCTTTCTGCCGGCGTCGCGATCTCTGTTTTTCTTTTTCTTTGTGTTCTCCGGCTTGCCGTGGCCAGCCATCCTCCAGCGGCCTGACTTCACGCAGCTGCAAGCCAGAGACAAGCAGGGCTTCTCGTGTTGGCACCACGCGATGGCGCGAGATCAACTGGCCTTATGCTTGGAATTGCAGAAGAGGGAGGATTTCGATTCGCGGCCTGGCTGAAATGCGCCAAGAACAAAAGCGTCCCTGCCCCATGCATTCTGGGGTCCAAACTTGGTCCCCTCTGAAAAGCCCCTTTTTGGGGCTCAGAAGGGGATTGCGGGTTCTGCCTTCTTGGCCGCAACTCTTGCTTAGTTTGATGTGCTTGCCTGCGCATTGGCGCTGTATGCGCTGTAAGGAGCCTGAAGTTGTTTGATCCCGCGGGGCCAGATGCGGGCCTAGCGATGTTGACCATTTAGCACCCAAGGGCAAAGTTTCCCGAGGGCAGCTCTTTCCGTATTTGTCGCGATTGCCGTATCGCGCTGCTTAGCTTTCTGTGGGTTGTCCGCAAAGCGGAACAACTGCCACGTGGATGGGATCAAATGCTTTTACGCCGGTCGAGCGTCCAAGAAAGGCACGGCGAGTGCGCACTGCCATGGATCAAAGATTCAGTTCTTTTTCGTGGCTTCGGCGGTTCTTCCGGCCCTGTCTTTCCTCAGCCCCCGCATCCAAATGTGGACGTGTGTGGCAAACGTGGCCGTTGCGTTTTGCTCAACTCGTCTCGGGTTTTGGTTGTTTCGTGTTTTGTGGAATTTGTTTCTTTTTCCCTCTGTGATGCTTTTGGTTTTGCTTTGTGTTCTTTGAACCCCCACCCCCCCACCCACCCGGCGGTTTTCTGGGGCCTTCAGCGGTTTAGCGCTGACGCAGGACCTGCGGCATGTGCAGCGAGTCTCCGCCAGCTGCGGGCGGCAAGCCGCGGCTTTCTACTGCGCCCCTGGGCTCACGGCACGGTTTTCTGTCGGGCCGTGTAGCTGTGGCTGTCAAAACCCTTTGGGTGAATTATAACGACCTCACGCGACCGAATTCACCCTAAATGGTGGTGTATGTGGGGAATATCCCTCCAACCACCTTATTTCAGGCTGGTGAAATATTATAATTCACCCAGAACCCTGCACCCCTGGTGAACATCAAAATAGGCGGCAAATTTCATGGCCATGTGGGTCCAAGATTTGGAAGAGAAGCTCCATGCCCTGAAAGGCTCTCTGAATCACGGGGCTCTCTTTTTTTCATGGGGCAGACCTCCCAAGGTTGAGGTAATGTTGACCCGGGTTAACCTTATTACTGTTGGGGGTCTCCCCTCCAAAAGTGATAAATCCCCCACTAAAACCAGGGACACCCCCCAGATGAATAATTAAACAGGGGTGTAAAAAAAATCCGGGGTCAACCTTAGAACAGATCGGTTTCTTGGGCTGGGTTCTTGGGAGGCCCAGAGCCATGTTGGGGTGTCCAGCCTGAGGAAAGGCACGCCCACCCTGGCCCCCTGGCCTTCGAAGCCAGAAGGTTGGGATGGGGTTGGCCCAGCCCAGCCAGTGGCCAGTTGTTTTCCCCCTAGTTTGTGTTTTCTTCTTTCTTTCTGTTTTTTAAAATATATATACATATATATATATAAATTAAGTAAGGGATTTCCTTTCAAAGTCAGCTACCAAGTGCGATGTTTACCCGTCGCGGGCATGGGATGCAGGGGTACCTTCCCCATTCTTTCCAGGGATCCTTCTTTCCAGGAATCCATCAAAAAACCCAGCAAAAACAGCAGGCTTTTGAACAGAACGATGGTTGAAAAGAATTCGGGATCAACCCCTAGATTTTTTGAAACAGTTTTAGACCTTACCCCTTGGGCCCTTGAAAATTGCCCTCGCTCAAAACATGGAAGCTGACGGGAGGCTTCTGACTTTGACTACTTGCCCTTTGCGGAAGCTGCGGTCCACTTCCTTGTTACGCACATCAGGTACCCTCCCACCAATTCGCAGGGAACCTTACAGGGGGTTCCTGTTCCACATTGATTGGTGGGAGGGTAGGCGCCCTGAATTATTTTGGTCCTTTGGCACGTGTCCAGTTGCCCAACCCGCAGCCCAATGTTTGAATCAAGTCCCTGCCCAAGGGAAAACAAGACGTGTTTCCAACTTCCCGAAGGTCTATTTGGGTGCATGATACTGTGCACCACCTAAGAAACCCTGGAATCATGCTTCCCCTGTAATACCAACAAACAATGGTTTGCCCTGCCTTCCAAGTGGTGCAGGATTGCGTCCATCCGCAGTCTTTGGGGCCTTCCCACCTTCCAGACGAGAAGGGTCCAAGATTTGGGGGCATGGCTTAGGAGCGGGCGAAGCTTGCAGCCCAAGGGCCCAGGACGCGAGTTGGAATGGAAGCCGGCTGGTTGCGGGTTGCCGCTGTCCTTGAGTTCAGCTTGGTAAGCAGATCAATGCGGGTTTCAATTGGATCGTTTTTGCAACCAACAAACTCATGAGCAAATGCACCTTTGGCTGCGCTTTGCCTCAAACTGAAGGACCATCGCATAGTCATTTGCAGTTCTAGCCAGCATCGGGTTGTGGTTTCCTGCCCTCGGTATGAAAATTGCCCTTGACACGCTATGGCGAGCTAAGCAAACCCTTTCCAGGCCCTTTTTCGGGTTTTTGACTTGTAGCCATCTGCTCAGAAAAATCTGAGTAAAGAAGCAACTGCCCACAGCGAGTTGGACTCATGTCACATTTGGTTCTTTCCGCACTGTCTACCAAACTGATGGTAGAGGAGATGTTTCTTTCAGGTTTCGGGGCAAGGACTAAGGTGAACGCCACTTCTTTTACGTTAGTGACTTGAGGCCGGATATGTGCCACGGGCTCCGTTAATTCCTTCGTGCTGGAAGCCTTTTGGCTGGCTGTTGGCTTGGGGCCTGCGGCCCGCCTGTCACTCCTTTTGGCCCATTGATTGAATTCTTCCATTGGCTGAAATGACGAGGTCCCCCACTAGTGCCCTTTTACCTTCTTTTTTTTTGCGGGGGGAGGGTTCCCCTACTAAAATAGACTACAGAAAAAAAAGTACCCTGATTCTATCCTCTCTACTGGAGGACCTAGATGAATATGTTTCATTTTCTCTGTTGGTTTTGAAGGGAACCCTGCAGATTCTATGCTTGAATTGGATGCTGCCGGACCAATGTACAGCTTCGAATTGCCAATGGCTTGTCACCAGCAGCCCGTCACGGCTCATGGCGGGCGACGTGCGGTAGCACGTACGGTAGCCACACCCGCGACTGGTGGGGCGTGAGGGGCCGGCACTGGCAGTTGGCAGCCGGAGGCCAAATTTCGGGTCATTCATCGTGCCAAGTTGTGAAGGCCTGTTTCTCACCGTCCAGCACGACAGCTACACAGCCAGAAGCTACCCCAATTGGAACCAAGTCTTCCATGGCTAGCTTGGAACCAAGTCTTCAGGATCCTGTAAATGGAACCCAGTCTTCCATGTTGGGGTCCGGGGAGCGTCCATGGAATCGAACCTATCCAGGCCTTAAGCCTCTGAATGACAAGCCAGCAAGCCTTGCATGCTGCTTCCGCCATGGACACGTCCCGCTTGCTCCGCGCTGCGCTGGACGCAAGGCAACACCGCAGTGCTTTGCGCAGGCGGGGGGTGGGAGGGCAAGGGCGAGTATGGAAGAATGGAGACTTCCCTGAAAAGAAAAACAGGTGCCGCAGGAGGTTGCTGTCAGTCTCTCTCTGTCTGTGTGTTTGATGCTGCTGCTATCCCCAAATCCCTGGACAGCTTGCCGTGCCCTCGTCCCCAGCAGGCTGCTGACAAACTTGGCGACGCCCACAAGCGAAGCTGGGATGCAAGAAGCAGTGCCGACGCAGGGTGTGTGGCGAAACTGGCCCGGAATCATTGTGCCCTCGGGTAAGATGTCTGTAGAAACCACGCATACGGGTAGCAACCTCATACATGGGTTGCGACTCACATGACGAAGCTTCCTTTGACTCAGAAGGGTAAACTGCCGCAACCGTACCCAGGTCAGCTGGTTTCTTCGGAACTCCTTACTTCAGAAAGTTTACCATGCTATGCCTATAAATGCTTTAGTGAAGCATCCGTGCACCTTGCGACTTGGAAGAGATGTATCTCAAGACGAAATCCAGACAGTTTACAGGAAGTTCGCCAAGCATCCACCAGAACAAGGGTTTCGTTTCAGGGAGGGCATTCCTTTCCACAATGAGGGAGCCGTTCCCCATACATGTTTCCGGTGCCAGTGCAAGGAGGACAATGCAAAGAGGGGGCTCAAGTACACAATTTCAGCACATAACTTTACATGCTCCGGTTAGAGATGGACATCCCACGCTGCAGCTTCCTACACAAATCTTGCGAGCGCAAATCCAGCTCTCCCATGATGAAGGTCCATTTTTCCTAGCGGTTCTTATCTCAAGCTGGAAAAATTGAGGTAACTTTAGTGCAGAGTGCTTTCCTTCATGTAGGTAATTATGGTGCAGAGGGATTTTGACTCAACCAGAGGCCAGATTCTTTCACCCCCCCCCCGGTTCAACAAGGAGGCCTTTGAACTCTACTTTCTGGGTTCCATGGTGGTATCCTGGTCCGCTGAGGAGCCGCATCTGGATGAGCTGCGGAAGTTGCTGCGCCAGGATCGGCTTGAGGGTTCCGGAGATGCGGTTCCAGAAAGTTCCGGGGCTGTTGGGGATACCACCTGGGAAAGTATCTTCGGGGCTTTGAAAGGATTGTTGAAGTGTCCTGTGATTGACTTGCGGCTACAAACAATCGGAAGGAACCCTGGTGTGTTGTGGTACTTGCCTCCCAGTGTTGTTTCTGGGGCACCCGTCTTGTTTTGGTCGAGGCGGGTGGTCAAAAGTTCTGCACACATGACAGTGCGAACAGAGGGTATACAACGCCTAGGAACGTCTTGTGGCTTTGCCAGTTGCGGCAGTTGCGGCGTGACTGCAACACATCTCAGTTTCCTTTTGAAGCTACCCAACCTCCAAGCCAGGGGTCCAGACGGGGTAGCCCAAATTGAAGACCTTCCCTTCCTGCAGAGTGTTTGCGGGTTGCAGGTAACATCGACGTGCACAGACCCTTTCGGAAGATGACGCTTTTTTGGGAAAGGAGCCTGCGCGCTTCCGTGTCACTTGGCATGCGTGTATTTTGCCTCTGTTGCAGCCAGCCCAAGGAGGAGACGCAAGCGGCCCAGTCACTGCAGACGCTTTGCCCGGATGCTGAGATGGGGAGCTTGGCCGTCATCTCCCGGAAGAGGCGCCTGGAGGCGTGGTTTTGGACAGCGAGTGGGAATTTTGAGGAAGGACAAAGCAGACGTTAAGGAGACCAACCCCATTTGGATCCTTACTTTCACTTGTCCCTATTCTTCAACATGCCAGCCGGGTGAATGTCTTAGTGGCGCATGAACTGAAGAGCCAGGCCAGAAATTGCCATCTGGCGGCCACCAGCACCTCAGGATGATGCCATCGTCACTGCTTACCTTTGCGGCTCCCTGCCATCCCCTTAGCTTGTTAGGTTTTCGGGCTTTAGTGAAAGTGTCTATTTAACCCACTAATTTAACCCACTAAAAGTTTTTTTGTCAAAAGAAAAAACAATCAAACAAAAAACATCAACTTTTAGAAGGGGATCTGAAGGCAGCCCGAGGGCTTGAGACATGCCCGGCGTCGGCGCCGGCCGGTTCTTAGCTTGGTTCCGGTGGCCGCCATTCTGCCCGGCTTGGTCGGAAAGAACAGGTCTTTCTTATTTCCAGGGGGTGATTCCGATTCCATTATTTTCCACCATCCTTCTTGTCAATAACTGGCCATTTGCCCTGGGTGTCCGGAGGTATCCGGAGGTTTTCTGGAAAGAAGGATCCCTGGGTTCAGAATGGGGAAGGTCAGCAGATGGGGGGCTTCATAGCTCTCGTGGCTGGGTCACTATCCAGTGGACAAGCTGATCCCCTCCTAAATTCCACTGTTTTATTTGAGGAGGTGTCAGTTTTCCCCCTGATATGTTGTTTCCGGTTCGGTTTCTTTTGCTCCTTGTCTTCCCCATTGGGCCGGTTGAGCATGCCGGAACTGGCCGCAAATCGGTGTGGCAGTCGGCGTCTGATCCGGAGCCCCAGCTCAAGCCGCGCTTCCGGCTACTGGTGCACGAGGAGGCTGGGGCAGTTGTTGGGCTTCCTGTTTGGACCAGGCTCGATATCTCTGGTGGGTTCTATCTTTGCGGGAAAGGATTTTTACATTTGTGCTTATTGTGGTTTAGTGGGAAATCCCCGCTTAACTGCTAAAATGTAAATGTTTGCTCCCCTTCCAACGTCAACCCAGTACATCTCTGGTGGGTTCTATGTTCGCGGGCAGGAGGACTGTCCCAAGAAAGGCCAGATGCGAAAAACTGGCACGGTCGACGAACTTTCTCCAAGAAGACCACCCAGACGGTACCCTGGCTTCATTTGTCAAAACCAGTCACATGCTCGACTTCCTTCTGCCAGGGCCACGTGGGAGTTGCCAAGGCCCGATTCATGAGCAATATGTTTGGGCCGCAGTAGCTAGCAACTTCGACGCTGCTCACCCTTGCCAGGGAGTCAGCAAGCCTTTCGGGTTCTGAGGTGTGTGCCTTTGCTTCGCGTGTGTCGCATGCCAGCTGCTTTTTATCATTCCGAGTCATTCCAGATGGCAACTTGGACGCCCCAATATGTTAAAGCATGTCACAAAAAGCCAGTCAACTCATAGTCTTGGGCAGGCCTTGGCGGCCAAAAGTTTCACAGGCGACGAGGCGCATGAGGCCAGTTCCAAAGTCCCAGTCCAATTTCCAGCGCCAAAACCGATGCGCACGTGGCAAGGGCATGCCCACCCACATCTTGGCTGTGGCGCTCTGCGAGGTGGGCCCCAGGGGGGGCGGGGGGGGGGGGGGCAGAAAAGCAGCGCGATTCTTGCTCGCTTTCTGTGGGTTGTTTCCATGTTTTAGCCTGTGGAGTTTTTTTATGTGCATTTCGCTTCGTTTGGCTGTCTTCTTGTGGTGTTTCAGCCTTTGCTTCTTTCGTGGGCTAGCGGTCTGGTATCAGGGGCAAGCAGTTTTTTGAAAGAGGGTGGAGGCCGCAACGGTTTGTGCCATGTTGTGACTATGTGGCCCCCTGCAGCAGCACAGGGATAGCCTTGTCTGCTCTGTCTTCGAAGGAGCCTGGAGACGCTTTTGATTCTGGCGGATTCTGGGTTTTCCGTTTGCGTGCTGCTGCTTGCTGGGGAGGAGGCTCCTTCGCAGGCATCCGACCATGTGTCGACTTGTTGGTTAGCAATTGTGTTTACATTGTGCGAATGGGTTTGGTGCGTTGCCTTACAAGAGGCATTTGTCTTCCTCTTGTTTCCTTTGTGCGTTCTTGGCAGCTGGCGATG